TGTACGTACATGTGTTGTATAAACTACGAAACTACTGTACCGATTTTGAAGAAATGTTCAAGTTAAATTATCAGAAATGTTAATGCTACCAGAGAATGAGAAGGTGCAAATTAAATTTTGTATGATGCTCGATTAGACGGCTAACAGAGCTGAAAAATTCCGATCAGGGAGTTCACCCAGAGAACGATATAAAGACTTTCGAACTTCCGCATAGATCAGCCAATATGTGAGTTACCTTGACTAAATTAATGAAACCCAGGGAGCATTTTATAAGTACGTGGCATGTTAATAGTATGTGGTATTGCCAAAAATAGATAAAATCGCAATACATCCCTTAGACCCCATATATGTACCTAATATACAATTTTCAAACTTCCGGTTGGCCTTATACCATGTATACGAATTACTCCCACTCCCATATCCTGCATATAATGATTTTCGTTTTTCTAACAAGTTTTATGCCGAATATGTCGTTCAATGTATAAGCTATATATTTAAAAAGTTGCTTAAAAAAAGTTCTCAAATATACCTGAGTAATCTCCAAACAATTTCAATCAGCGCATCCCTTTCTCTGGCCCAATATACCCCATATATTGATTTCCGTCTTTCCAACTGACTTGAAACCGTTCAGATTGGTCGAAATTAAATTTTTTAATAAACCTAAATGGACAAGTTTTCTTAAATATCATGTGGTTTAGCCCTGAATTAGAATGAAATTGGTCATTGGTACCTTGATCTAAACCTCATATCCCTAATATAATGCATTCCGATCCTCCGGTTGACGTTTTCGACTTCAACTCAATACAACTACATTAAATTTAGCCCATTCCGTCAAATTAATATCGAACTAAAGTTAAAGTTAATGATCTTCAATGTAAGTCAAGAACATACATATCAATTTTGATTGCAATTTATTCACGATTGCACTTAATAAATGCTAAATTCTTTCTCAACATTTTTATATAATTTAAATTCATATAATAAATGGTGTTGTCAGTAAATAACTGAAGCCACAGTATAAAATTTGACTTTGCGAAAGTATAAAATGTTTGGTTACAACTTAGCCCTTTTGATATAATATTTTTTTATCACCAAGGAAGGCATTTAATTCTTGCAGGTAACAAGAGTATAAATTGTTCGGTTACACCTGAACTTAGCCCTTCCATACTTGTTTTTGTTTTAGTTTACACTTTCAGCTTTAATTGCCTTATTCTGCAACTGAAAAACTTTGCGGATATGTTTCTCAACCGGCTCTGACTCATTGGTAACTGGAGTGGATTTCTAAAACGTGTATAAAGTAAAGATATTATTTCTTATAATTATAACTTTATTTAAGTGTTTGTACCTTTTAGATCCTCAAACTGTTTCTTTCTATAATCCTCTTGTGTTATGGCGTTAGGTGAAAAACGTTATTGTACAATAATTTGTGCAATAACTCAAGAAAAACTAAGGAAAAGTAGAGGATTTCATTGCCCAAAACAATTAAATAAATATGTTTGAACTTCAAATAATCAATAAAATTTCAAATAAATGGATGTTTGTAGGGGTAACACCTTTGTACTAGATACTATCAAACTTGGTTGCGACTATTCCGTTTTGCCCATAATTTCTTAGGCTAAACATTCTAACCAAACTACAAATCCAAACTCGTTCTAAAAAAGTATTGTAAGTTTAACTGTTTTGATTTTATTTATTGTGAATTTCCTCGTTTTAACATTTAAGTTTTAGTTAGCCAAATAAATTATTTATGCTTTCAGCAACACACCACACTGATCCTTTGGGACCTCCCGCTGAAAGACCACGTACTGGAATGGCTGGTATATCCCAAGACCACGATTCAGATGACGACGAAATAAACACTGAAAGCCTGCTGCCGATGTAAAGCACGAGCTCCTGAGTCCTCTAATACTGGTATGTTCAAAGCATGCTTAGCACAGTTAATGGAGTAGGATTAAAATATCAATCGCTCACTTCTATTTTTCACATTCCTTTAATTCAATTTTCTTCAATTATTATTTTATGCAATAACTAGCTGTACCCTGGGCGCGTTGCTAGGCCACCAAATAAAATAAGTTTAAGGGAAAAACAATACCCAAATGTTCAATCCATTTTGAGCCATTTTCTTGATTTTGTTCATCTGTCGAAAATACCAACTAACTCAGAAACCTTCTTTGACTCATGCACATCAACTTCGCTAAAGATAATCACATGATTACATGAGTTACCTTCCTGAGGGAGCTGGACATCAAAACTTTTGATTTCTAGAAGATGGTAACTCAATGCTGAGCTCCCAAAAAGCAAAATCAAGGACAAACACATTTCGGCAGATATACCTACATTTTGTATTATGTTACTCAAAAACTAAACAAACAAAAAACAAAAATGTGTAGTTTTTTTTTATAATATGGTATAAAAGTCCTAAACTAAAAAAATATTTATTTGTTGTAAAAAATAACACAGGTCAACAAAAATATATATTTTCATGGGTTTTACTTAATATTATATATACTGGTTATACGTATAAGCAAATATAGATTAGAAAGGACGATTACAAATCGAAAGTATTTGCTTTTTAAGCAATTATAGAATTTTTGTCAGACTGTTATTTTTGTATTGGTGATCCATTCAACGGTAAAAACTCGAAGAAAATATTTTATCTTGATCTGCCACCGACATCCGCACCAATACCACATACAGAAAAAATACTGTACCTATATTGTAAAATCAGAACAGCCATCCATCACGGAGTTTATCTGTATCCATACATTCCGAATTCGTTCTGGAATCTGAACCAAAACTACTACGTTTCATCAACTCTGAAGATTTCAATGATTTCATAAAAGACTCGTCTATGAAAAAATAAAGCCCAGCTATTGGTATCGTTATCACAGGTTGGTTATCACAGAAAACGACATGAAATATCTTCTAGTTTCTTCAGTAAGGAAGATGGGCTCTGTTTTGGTCATGACGCGAAAGGTTTGTAGTAGGAATGATGCTGCTCACTACCGCCAAAAACATTGAGTTTCAGAGACGAAAATAAAAGCTGTAGGCCCTCAATTAAAAAAATTATGGATTGTAATATTTTCCCGAAGTTACTTAGCAATAAAGAGGAAGAAGCCTGGAGCAGTTTTAAGGCAGTAGTGCATGGTTTCCTGGAAAACCATAGGGTTGACAATTATGATGAGCTGATCACTGACATGATTACGAGTTTTTCCATCATCGGATGTAAAATATCTGTAAAAATGCCAATGTTACATTCCCATTTAGATAAACTTGAAGATATAATGGAATTTAAGAGACGCTACCAACGCCAATATAATGAAAGCATGATGAGGAACTATATTTGGCGGTTAATAAGAGAAATTTCTAGGGAACATGACAGGAAAAGTAAAACTGTTCAGTTTTAAACATCTGGAGTCTATTTTAAGAAAGAAATCTAAATGGAAGTTCGGTATATTTTAATAAATTATTTATATATACAATTTTTAGTATTTTTATAGATGAATTTTTCGATTTTTTTATACATAAAAGCAAATTCACTGAAAGTTAATAGTCGATAGTGTAGTCATTATTTTTGGTAACGACAGAATCAAAGCGATTGAATATGATATGTTTGTTTGTTTGAGAGTCTCTCTTTTATCGAATTGATTGTCTGTGTTTCCGAATTTTTGGCGAAAGAAATATTTTTTCTATGGTTTCCGAGCATCTAAACGCATCTCCAAAGCCAATCTACGAATAGTTCTGATGTTTACATCTAATGATTAGTCAAAAACGTTTTTTCTCGCATTATTTATTATTTGTTACCAGTACCGTTTGGCGCTTTTCATGGCCTTCCTCCAGAATGATCTATTACTAATGAACCAATTGCCGGACACCGACTTATTATTCACGAAATCACAGATTGTTTTATTGATTATTTTTCTGATCTGCTTTTTGGTGAAACATTCATTTTATGGTAATTAATAATCTGTCACTTTATCCAAGTCAAAATCATCCTCTCTAAAATTAGTTTCAAAAGTTTAATGTGATATTTTTTGCGCTATTATCCACTACATCATTATCATAGTTTATTTAAAGTTGTCAATATTAGGAAACAATTTTTAATTTAAATACCCGAAGAAACGAAAACTGAAGTTCTGATTATGCCGACTATTTTGGGTTAAATGGGTTAAATCGAAAAACAATGAAATTATATAATAAGTAAACACATGAAAGCATTAAGTGGAGTGTGCTTAGAACTCATAGAAGTATATTATAATTAATGGCATAAATAATGCATAATATGGAATAAATTAAAATAATATTTAAGTCGCTAATAGGCTATGTTAAACGAATACTTCTGCTGAAAGCGGTTGGTTTCTGAACAAAATGTTTTCCAGTTGCACCGGCCCTGCATTGGCCGATATTAGCGCTACTTAGCACCATCTATTGCAATTACTCTCAAAATACTTCCATAAATGTCCAAGTTCCACTCCACTTCCATGATTAGTGAGAGTTATGCAATTTACCTCACAGATGGCGCAGTATTCAAGTAACTTCGCCAGAGAATGTTAATAAATAGGAAAGGCCCAAATGTTAGCTCCGCTAAATGTAAATTATTAAAAGGAAACATCGAAAATACGCAAACTCGAAAGTTCAATTACACCACGTCAAAAAGGTACCTTCCCCTTATGATAATCGAATTCAACAAACTACACCACTCTAAGCAGGAACCAAGCAAATTGTTATAAAGAAATAGCTAATATATGTATGCGCAGATGTTCTTTGGTATGCGTGTTAAGGAAAATTAAAATAACAAAAAGGAATAATAGATTTTGAAGAACATTTATAAGGTGGTAAAAATTTGCTTGGTTCTTTGATAAAGTGGTGTAGTTTGTTGAGTTCGATTATCATGAGGGGAAAATATCTTTTTGAAGTGGTGTAATTGAACTTTTGAATTTGCACATTTTCGATGTTCCCTTTTAATAATTTACATTTTAGCAGAGCTAACATTTGCGCCTTCTCTATTTATTAACATTCTCTGCTCTGATCTAGCCGAATCCGATCTTACGCAACGCGAGATACAGATAAATAACGCCATCTATTGGAAAAATAATGGATTTCTTTTTGCTACACGAATTTAAGTATATGTATGTTGGACTGTGTGCATGTACTTTTTTGAATTACTTTATACATGTTTTGCAATCAGTAGGTATGAAAACTGAGACGCAGTGAAACGCTACTACGAAAGGAATTGAAATTTCATACATTTGAAAAGCTGGTCTCTCATTCTTTCAAAACTCTACAAAAGCGAGAAGACAATCCGTAAAATGTCAAATACACTTACGTTTATTTACATGTAAACGCAATCCAAAGAATAAAGTAATTGAAGAAACTCACCTCACCAATACAATCAACGTGAATATAGTCACCTTCTCATAACAGTATTTGTGTGCAGAGACTTATTTACCTGAGTGAATTCTCAACCAAGGCAGCAATGAAGCAAGCGATCAGCGGGCTAAGACAATGATCGGAGGCAGAGTGGAAAAGGAAAATACCACGTAGTCGGTACTTCAGGTATTGTATTCGTTCGTAAGATACACTATTCTCGAGTATACCCGCGTTGAGTGAACAACGTTGGCGCAATCAACGGATTAACCTAACCTTAGATTAATCGTCGGTTTTTGTTCATTAGATACATACATACATACTAACAAGTACACTCACTGCATAGTTTGGATTTGTTTCGTATAGACTGCCAATTTCGTGGCATTCCGTTGTGAGAAAATCCATTGAAATGTGTATTTTCGAACATTCGATTGAAATGAAAGTGGAGTTTTGAAATTTAAAAATCAATTTACATATTTTCACCGAACGTGCTATTATCAACCAAAAACCTTTGAACGAACGCGGAATCGAGATTTTGTAAAGGCTGAAAACGGCGATTCCAAATTTCCAGCTACATATATATTTGTATGAATGTATGTTTATATATACACGTCCACTTAAATGTGCATATGTGTGTACATATGGTATATTAGGGAGCGGTTTCTGCATACTTGTCCATAAAGATATTTGCGAAAAGAGGAAATTCTTGAACGACGCCATATTTATTTTGCCACAACAATAAGAAACAAGACATCACACCTTACCATATAACCGCAACACGAAAGCAGCATACATATAGTAAATACATACATATCTAAATTGAAAAAATTTGGAGACAAGTCGCTTAAAATCCGATCACGAAGGTTCTACGGTCAACAAATTGAAATAGTTCAAATACCTGAGCTACCAACAAATGAACGAGCACATCAGCGAACATTTTAACTGAGGTCTTTACTGTCAAAAACGATAAATAGTTAAAATATATATAAGTAGTACACATGTATGTATGTATATGCGCATGCATACAATTTTAAAAAGTGCAAAACTAAGTTTCGAAATTCACAAGGAAATGCTAGAGTCGAGTGTCCGAAATGTTGTGAGTTGCCCAAGTGCTTACGTATGAGTACGAAAATTAACAGTTTCACATGGCAAAAGTGTATTCGCACACATTCTCCGACACCTGTATGTTTTAATGTGTTTGTGTGTGTCAATGTGAAGAATAATTAAGAAAGAATCTCGTGAATGCTCGTCGCAGGGGTGGGGAGAAAAAAGAAACAAAGTAATGAAAAATGTAAAAATGTAAAAAAAGAAAAAACAAACGAATAGAGGTAAAAGATGAAATGAAATAGCTGATTTCAAGAACCACTTAGAAACACATCAAAACCAGAAAATCAACTTTGCTAACGTTATTGCTTGACAAACTTAAGTATACTGAATTCACCTTGTCTACACATGTTTCCGTGATTGTGTTTGTGTGTATAAATTTTGCTGACACTAATCTGTCTGCCTTACATGAGTTGTCATAAGCTTTCTTGGTACGAGCATATCGGTAGTTTTAGACAAGTGTCACTAAAACTGAGTTTCAAAGTGGATTTCATAAGAGAATAGGTAACAGAACCAACCTACTGTTGTTATTTAGGGCCATTTATAGAGCACGTAAATATGGGTGATTCTACACCAATTTGTCGCTGCCGAGTGCTCTATTTGGGCAGTGCGGTACCACGTCAGAGTAAGGACGGCTTGCAAGGGATCCAAGAGCCGTTGCGCAGCCTATATCCCTCGGAGGGTGCTGTCGGCGCCAAAGGCATAGATTCGTGGTTAAGTGTATGGTCGAATGGGATTCTACTCGAAAACGTCGATGAAAATTTAAAACAAATCACACGATTCTTCCCCATTGAGTCGTTGCATTATTGCGCAGCTGTGCGTCAAGTTTTAGTACCGGAGCGTGGAAACTCCAAACCAGAACCAAAATTTCTGCCGTTAGACTCGCCATTTGCACGAATGCCCCGCGCTCAACATCCTCCGATATTCGCTGCAATACTTCGACGCACCACTGGCATCAAAGTGCTCGAGTGTCACGTGTTCATTTGTAAACGCGAAGCTGCCGCAAATGCTCTAGTCAGATGTTGTTTTCACGCATATGCGGATAATTCTTATGCTCGGCAATTGGAGACGGGTAGTTCTGGAGGTGGCCCGGGCGCCAGCGTTTACGGCACATTAAAGAGTGCTGTTGGTTGTAAATCAAATGGTGATTTAACTGGTGTTGGACTTATGCATAGTAATCATCATAACCATCAACATAATATGGGCGTGTCATCGAGCCAAGCTGGATGGCGCTCTCGCTCCGGCAGTACAACCACCTTGAACAGTGTTGGGCGGCAATCCAATGGTCATGCTTTTAACGGTACGAGTGGTATCAGCCTGAATGGTGGCGGGAGCAATGGTAGCGCTACCGAAGGATACACATCCGTAAAAAATTGTAAGTTTTACAAACTTTCATATCTCTACAACTATTTTAATTATTATATTGACATCTTGTCACTTACTGCTTGCTTACGAAGCGTTTAGGTAAATAAACGTACGGACATTTCTCTTGATTTACTGTAATTCTTTCACCTGGGCTAAAAAGTATTTTAATATTCTCCTTTTATTTTCATTAAGTACCTTAAAAGTGAATTTAAGGTACAAAAATACCTAATATTTGTGCAACTTTAGTTATTTGTTGCTGTTATTGTTAGCATTTTATTGCAAATTCTGGACATAATTACTACGGGTATACAATTCTATGGAGTTTCTCTCCCTAAATAAGTAATATTATCTTAAGTATATCATAAGATCATATTAGTCAGCAAATGGTCTAAAATTTTATAAAGAAATCTTCACTTTGTATTTTCGAAAAAAACTAAGTAAAGAAATTAATAATAGTAATGAAGAATAATGATGTAAAACATCCAAATTGTTGATTTCTTCCTAAATCTGTGATTTCTAACTTATTGAGGAAATATCGAAGAATTTTTAAACGCCCTCTAACAAACCGTTTGTTTTCTTCCATAGTTAGAAAATTTATTTTCCAAGTAAATATTTGCGCGATAAAAAGATATTCAATAATTAAGCTTGGTTCGGATTAACTTGTCATTCGATGTGATACAGATTGGTTGTGTATGAACACAAGTATATACATATGTATTAGTACACTAAAAATAAATGAACAAACCAACTCTCACATGAATCTTAAGCTATTTACGCATAGGCATCTCAAAATATGAAAGCACTTTCCACTTATTTAAATATTGACGATTTGGTATCGAGTGTTATCTGCTAGCTTTTAAATGAAAGCATTTCTTTTGCTTTATGTGTGAAGGCATGTACATCAATGAAACTTAAGAGACAAATATTTGAAAGCAACAAATAAATGTTAATTGGAGTCAGCTAAAAATACATGTGTAAATTTCGTATCATGCTGTGTGTATCAAACACAAATCGGTGTGTGTACGTATGCAGATGTATTTGGTAGTTTGTTTGTGTAAATGTGTTAGTAATTGCTTACAAATCCCCTGCAGAAAAGTGCAGTCATTCTGAATTGGTTTGCTTGTGGTGCATCTAGTACGAGTTCCACAATCTGTATAATATTGTAAATGACTGATGTCTTTTTATAAAGGAAAGGAAAACTAATTTACAGGTGAACTGTGGTCGATTTTAAAGGTTAAAAAAAGGGTTATCTCCATTTCCGTCAAAACTTCATATAGAAAAAAGTTATGTGGCAAAATTGTAGTTAATGTAAAGATTTACAACTTTTGTATTTATACCTTTTTCACATAACCTCAAAATTTATGTGAAAAATTCAAATATCCATGTTTTTGGGTTTTTTATATTCCAAGCACACTATATACTTTTTAAATTAAAAACCCCAAAATTTCAATCAAAAGTTCTCACGTCAAAATATCAGATATATTTCTTTCACTTTTTACCAAGATTATGGTCTATTAACTGGCATAACAAATTTATTTTATGAAGTTAATTAAACGTTTACGTAAGATATTTACCAGGGCTAAGACTATCTAACTATCCAATGAGGCTTAGCAGTAGTTCCTAGGACGAACGCCTGCAAAAAAAACAATAGCTGTCTTCGATTCGCCATTTCTATTCATGCGTCTGCTTTCTTCTCAAAAAAAATTATATATAAAAGCAACAACAAAGTTGTCGAGCCGAATTCGTACAAGAGAGTATGTGGATACCTCATTAAATTGGTATAACCGCTAATTTCAATGCTACTTAGTTTTGTTTTTCTTTTGTCAAATATTATGGTAGCTTATGCTAACTATATGATGTACCTTAATCAAGTCTGCGTATCTTCCGGATTCCACTCGATATTTCTAATACGCAACAGCCATGGTAGGAATTACTACATTTAATCGCTTTCTAGATTTCTTTTATCTCAAGGTACGTATGACTATTTAAATGTGGTATAACAAGCTCTGTACAAATCCCAATCGAGCACTGTGCACAATTTTATTTACACCTTTTCCTAGATTGTAGATTCTCTGCAACATTTACGCTTATTAGCATAGGCACAATACATTATATTACACGATTAAATATATGATTGTATATGACTCAATATTTTTCATTGATGTTTAATGTTTTTTTTTAACCAACCAACAGATGAGATCATATCGTATTTAACACTCGATGAGACGGAATTTGTTTATTTTTTAAATAATAATAGTAGTGAGTTGATCAAAATTTGTATAATAGCTTTGTTAAAAAAAATCTTTTTTAAATTAAAGCGATTATGAAATAAAATTATAACATACTTAACACTTTATTAGGAAATTTTCACATTTAAATCATTTCCAAAAAAATTGTTTATAAGATTTTTTCAAACGGACAACAAAAGTTTTTTGTTGGTTCCTTATACTACTATATTTATTCGATAAGTTTTGCTTTTGAATTGTTTATATGGAATGTTTTATTGTGCCCAAAAATATTTTAAACGTTTACAACATCTCTTTTGGCAATACTACATAGCTCGAGAAAAGATAATCGTATTGTATATGAGATATCATAATTATTATTAGAATGTATGAATTATTATCTAATCCAATACAACGAACAGTTTTCGTAACAATGAGTATCTCGGACAAAAAGTGAGTTGTCCTCACACACAAATCACCCAGATGATGCTAATGCTAATTTCAGTCTCCTCCTTTGCGAGAGTATTTCATATTCAGTATGTCTTTACCTGTATTCGGTAATTCGCAACGACGACGTAACAAATATCTTGAAAATCAAGCGAATCTTCCTTGATTGATTTAAATCTTGGCATAAATGTCAAGTTCTTAACAGCCCTTAAACTCATAATAAAGGGTTCTGGTCTAATAAGAGACTATGTAATATCTTAAGACTATTTGTTAATAACAATTCGTTCGCATTGTTACATCCATATATATTTACATATTTTCATAGCACATATCGTGTTGCGGAAACACGATTTCATGCACGCATGCACCGCATGGCGGATGCACCGTGTCTTTTACACCTGAAAACTTATTTCTTATAAAATAAATTAATATTTTTGTGCATAATACAATTAAAAAGTCCCAACTCTTATTTATGACTTTAAACTTCATTAACCATATTTGGCGTTTATTGCAATTTATGTGATAATTATTATAACTATTGTATTGTATTGTGTATGTCCACATGTAATGATTTCTATTTTGTATTTTTTCAGTTTATGGAAGTAGTGCTGATTTAAACGTAACTGTCGACGATGGCGAGAATTCGATATACAATGGAGATGAGAATCACAAAGTCTGGAGTGGTTCTCAAGATCAACTAGACGCCATTGCAATGGAGAGCCCATATGAAGTCTTTTCGGGAAACACTTCTACTTTGGGACGTCCTGTGAGAGCGCGTCAAATTAGCTCACCTATTGATGTACCACCCCCACCCATAAGAGAGGAAGTTAACAAAAAGCGCAAAGAAAAAAAAATTTCAAAAACACCTGGCACTCAAAGCCTTTCTGGAACACTCATACGCCCGAAGCCAATTCATCCTAGCACTTTACAAAAACCCGGAGTCTACGGAGGCGCTTCAGGTAGTGTGATTTTTGGTCCAGCTGTTGGGCCTGGAGGTTTCCCACCCCCACATGGCTCAAGAAATTATCACACAATTAGTCATCGAGGTTTTCATGGTGGCCCATCAGGGCCACAACCGCATTTTCATCATCCTGGCATGCCATCACAACCTCCACCACAAATGATGCATCCACCACAAATGGGTATCCCAATGCAAATGCCTGTTATGATGTCACAACAATATGCCACACTTCAATCCTCACGATCTACAAAGAAAAAGAAGAAAGATAAAAAGAGCAGTGGCATACCAGTTGGACTGCCCATGGTACCACCGATTTATGCGTATCACCAGGGTATGGGCCCTCCACCAGCACCTCAACCAGCTATTGCACAATCGTTAATCGGTGATCCACGACCATTAGCGATGTCCAATCGAAAGCTAGCAGTATCTATGGGAAATGGACTAGATGATGGACTAAACTCTGGCGCAGAATCGCCTGGTGGTACTGGCATTTATCGGAGAAAAGGTCACTTAAATGAAAGAGCCTTTAGCTATTCTATAAGACAGGAACATCGAAGCCGTAGTCATGGTTCGTTGGCTAGTCTACAATTTAATCCACCTGACATGAAGAAGGAACGAGAAATTGCACAAATGGTTGCCGGGCTCGATTTAAATGATGGACCCGAAAGGGAAATATCGTCCATGACACTGCAGCGAAAGCATCTGATTGCCTCAAATGACGTAGGATCCGGCATCCAATCACAACAAGCAATTTATGGGAATGGGGGTACAAATGCTTTGTATGGCAACAGCATGGGTCCAGCGGGTAGCATTGGCAAGCCCCGAAGATAAGTTAGTGGGGTTAATTGCACCGTAGACCATGCCACATGCAATGAACATATTTATTATGATTAAATAAAGCATATAAATATGCGATTATAGATACATGTATTTACTCAAGTACATATATGTATATATGTGTATATATAATACATACCCTAGGGTCAAGATTATATATATGTATGCGAAATATTCATATATATATTTCAATATGGAGTTAAACCAGTCGATGTGCCCCTGATGAACAAACCCATAAATTAGTAAACGAATAGAGTTTTAGAGATGTTGTCAAAGCGGACAAGTACATAACTACTAATACTGACAAATAATTATATAATATTATATGGATGCGTATATTTATTCAAAGATTTGTATACAATCGAAATAATAGCAAGGTAAAACCAAAGAAGTACTTGGGAGAAAACTAATGAATTATTTTTCACTTGTCTGAAGAAAGTAAGCTTTTTATAGTATATAAATATGTATTTACGATGAATATACTTCCTTGTATACCAACCTACATATTTCACTGTTATTAAAAATAAAAAAAGAAGGAACTTAATTTACATACATATATGTTAATTAAAACACAACGTTCCGCAAAATAAAATCATACACCACGCCCAAACTTCAGAACATCCATTTCAACAATTTAATAATCATCGAAGCATTGTACAAATTATATATCTAATGATTTAGAAAATAATTTCAATGTGTGTTTGTTACATACATATGTATCTGTATGCATATGAGCCCAAACATTTCTGACATTTTATGCAGTCTTTGCACGTATTTGAAGTGTGATCCATAAAAGATGAGAAAACTCCAAAGATAACCCAAACTTTAGACACCATGCACTATTCCAGAATCCGAACATTAACAAAGCTCGGTATTACTTACGGGACCACGATAGTGAAGTATGCGAGTGTCAAAGGACTGTTGTAATATTCCAATCATTCATTGAAATGTGACATCCGTTAAGTAACGGTTAACTGATTTGAGAGAAGACTTTACTACCCAGTCAACCATTGTGGCTATAAAGGATCACACATTACCATAAATATACATATGTATGTGTATGTACATACTTTTATATAAGTATGAGGAATCAAGTGGACTAAAAAATATGACATGATTATTAATTTTCTGAAAGCCTTTCAAAGCAAATGAGAAGAATTATATAATATAATATTACGATGCTGGTCAATAGAATTGCTCAATATAGTTTTGACGGATTTGAATGATTATATACATAGTATGTAAGTATAAGTATATGCAGAATATATAAATTTATATATCAAAATTGCATAAATATTTATATACATACACTCTTTGTTATGTACATTTGTTAAGAAAATTTTAAATGACTTTTCGTTTCGTCTCTATACAATGAAAATTGTGTGCCTTATTAGGTTTATATAATATTTACTGTTATATGCATATATATTTACTATAATATATTAAGTAATATGCAGAACTTTTTTTTAAAGTGGAGTTTCCATTAAAAATTGATATAAGTTTATATGTACATATGTAAAGGAAATCGCCAAAAACTTTAAATAAAAAGTGTAAAAATCATTAACTCGAATATAAATAAAATATGAACGGAGTAGTATATAAAGTACGATTCATTTTTGATGTCGTTAATTATTACCAGTTAAAATGCAATCAGACTTTCAATAAGATACTGTGGTACATAAGCACTGAGGTCTATGGTATCGAGGGATTGAAAAGTTATGGGGAAAAGCAATAAGGTGGTATGGCTTAAAGCAACTATTTCTGGAAAGTTTTATTCCGATATCTTCGTTAGTTCTTGATTAATTATGGGGTGTGGGTGTGGTTATCATACGATTTCCCCCATTTTCATATTGTATGAAGAGGTGTTCTAGGAATTCAATATAGCTCATGTGGTCTACGCCAACTTTTTTAAAACTTACGCCCCACATGACTCACTTCTGAAATCTTTTGCATCAAATTACAGATTGTTATCCTAATTTAAAGCATAGTTATAGCAGAGAACGTAAAATGATATATTAAATGATACTTATATAAATGTATATCTGTCCCGATCATTTTAGGTGTTACAAAACAACCATTCGATGAACAAAATCGTTATACTCTGTAGAGACATGTTGCGAGAGTATACAAATAAAATACTACAAGGTTAGCTAGCTATAGATAAGCCTGCGAGAAGAAATAACTCAGTCCACATAAATTGATGTATTTGTTAAAATATATTTATTCATACAAAATCCTGACTACAAGGTTAGCTAGCTATAGATAAGCCTGCGAGAAGAAATAACTCAGTCCACATAAATTGATGTATTTGTTAAAATATATTTATTCATACAAAATCCTGATAGGAGTAAAATATAACAATGCTTAATTTCATTAAAGGAACAATATAGGCACTTATAAGTTGACTAAACAGATTACATAGAGCAATTTTTTTAAAATTTAAAATCATGTTGTTGCTTGGACCGTCATCTTGTTTGAATGTGATTTCTCCCTGAGAAGAAACGCATCTATCTACAAAATGAGGAAGATGAGTCTATGAAATATTTCCGATTTTTCTTCAATACAATAAGTGAAAAGTACGTGCCACAAGTTAGCTACTTTTTAATTACCAAAAAGATTTTTTGTTAAGAGTCAAAAAAATACCATTAGTAATCATTACCATTATCATCAATAATACTGTAAACTCTTCAATTAATCTTAAATTTATATAGCTACTAACTACTGCTAACTTGTTAATTCTCCATGTGGCTGTTCGTTAAAAATCAAACCGTGCCGAACCCAAAATTTCAAACCACGGGCCTTGGAATGTTACCAATTTTGTGTACAAGTACATATATGTACATATATACATATATAAAATATGATATGTGAAAAACACATACTAAAAATGCCAATTTTTCATATGTCTGGTTAAGTTCGCCCTAGATAAAGCAGACTATATTAAGACACCGATGCCGAAGCAGAAGTAATTGGAGCACAAGCTACATAGAGTACATAAAAACTGTAATTATGATTCTCGTTATCCTCACACAGTGCTCACAGCGCTGTTATAATGGAATGTAAAACACAGATGGAAACATAACCGAATATTGTATATACTCGTAATTTACAAGGTTCAAAGACGAAGAAATATTTTCAGGTGTCACGAAATTTTATACTAAAAAATGTTACACGTGAATTAATTATTGGTTATTCGTTGAAATTGTGCAATACAATCATATTTTGAATCTATTATCTTATACTGCAGGTTAGAGACTCACTTAGTTCCATTAGAATTATCAGGGAAGGTCTAAGCAAAGAACAAGTTTCCACCCAATTTTACTAAGCTAACTCACAATGTTGCGATCTTTTTATTTCAACAAGGGTAACTCACCACTTTTGTCACGGCAGTCAGGAGGAGGTCCGTCACCTAACCCTAGCCTCTCATGGTTGTCAATGATGTTCTAGATAAGTTTGAGGAAGTCGGCTGCCGGGTGATTGCCTTCGCGGACGACGTAGCTCCCATGGTTGAGGGAAATTTCTGAACACCGCGTACGAGCTATCATAGGGGTACTTAAGAATCGTATGCAACTGGGCTCATCCTAAACAGGAAGCTGCAGGGAAGCTATTAGCCAAAGGTGTGGACTCTCACCAAAGGTAGTTCTTTGGCTCTATGAAACCATAATTAAACCTATACTCTTCTACGAAATTCTTGTTTGATGGATGGCGCTGGAATAGATTATACTCCCGAAAAAATTTCCAAGTGTTCAACAGGCTGCTCCCATCATCACTGCGCACCATACCAACTATGCCACTGAATGTCTTGCTGCATATAGCATCGGTAGTTGTAGCCGCAAGGTGCATGGGCACTCTGGCATCCTCGCACACTTTGACTTCATTCCAAAATACTTGGAATACTAGGTCGCCGAGCCTAGCTCTGGTTGTCGCTTCTCTGCTCATATACCTTCGAGGGAAGAAAGTACCCGCTGGAGGAGAGGGGCGGCGAGCTTTTTTACGGAAGGATCAAAGTTTTCGGGGAGGGTAAGTGGAAGAGTACACTGTCGGGAACTGTCCATCAGCTCTAGTTTTATGCTTCCTTGCTCCAGCAGCGTCTTCCAAGCGGAAGCGGCTGCTATACAGGTAGCAGTAAATCTACTGCTTCGGAGCGCAGCCTCCTTCAGAGTGGGTACTATCCACTGTGATAGTAAGGCAGCGATATTTGCCTTGAGTTCGCTGACTGTGCGCTCAAGACTAGTGAAAGGATAAGGATAAGGACTCCTTGTCTCTAGCATCGAGCTATTTTACGATACGGCTGGTTTGGGTGTCTGGCCACAGCATTGCAGAGCAGGAAACTGTATGGCTGATGAGCTTGCTCCGCCATGCTGAGGGATCAGAAATCTAACCTAACCTAAGCGTAAGAAATCCTTTTATTTTCATACTTAGAAAGCCTATTTTTGAAGTGTCTGTCAACCAACCAAAAAAAAAATTCGGATTATTTACCCACCCTAATGTATACATGTACATATATACATACATATGTGTATGCACAGGTTTTCCAAAGAAATTTTAAATTAATACATAACAGGAACACATTCAAAATAACTCATATGTATATTTGGTGAACTTTGATGTAAACATGTAAGTACTTATTTTTGTTAGTTTGTTGGTGCCCACATATATACATGTCTATCTAACAAATGTTGTGTATGAATATTTTATTATTTCATTCAATGAATTATTGCATTTGTGTACGCAGATGTGAATCATGCATATGTATATACGTACACACATGTGTGTGATCTATTATTATGTTAGTTACCATGGATCTTAATCTAAAATATAAATTGGATTGAATCAATACACACTCTAATACGAGTCTTTGAAGTCGGGGGATATGTACTAAACATCAACACTCATTTATCACCATATGGTGAATTTACATCAATCCAGTTTATTTTAAACACTTGCTTACGCTCTTGCGAGTCGTGTATCTTCAGTATGTAGCTGTTAATATAGTTTTTTGTATACAAGTTGAATGCTTGTATTGTTCGATCCAAACTTTGGAATGCGGACAATCTAGTCAGCACATGAATTTTTACGCCAACAATACTGATTTAACATCAACAACAAGCTTTTTGTACTAACTAAAAGGGGCAGCAGGTTGGATGAAAGGGCAAGCAGATATCATTTAACATAACCGGCATAACTACGTGAAAATAGGGACTATGACTTTTGTGTAATATACGGTTATGAGATCTTCAATCGGAACGATGATAATTAGGTTAAATATACTTTCTCCTCTGCCCGCACATTCTTTTTAATAAACCGAAAAAAATAAAAGCGGTGAAAATTCAGGAAATGTTTATGATATTTGTGAATAAAAAAAATATCAGACATATTTTATGCGGTTTGAATCAAGAATGTAAACATACATAATATAAATACATAGGTATGTAGGTAGATGCTTTCATAATAAGTAAGTAACTAATTCCTCAGACTGGTCACATCCTGTCAATATGCTTCTTGCTGACCAGTTTAACGTACATACATACATACATAAAATGCTGCTAGTTTGCTTGTACATCTAGTAAAGTTTGTTCGATTCACTACTCTCCAAGCTTCGGCGAATCGAGGGCAGGTATCGCAGTTTTGTATATTAATTTGTTGCTTAGTTATAACCAGGGTTGCAAATAATGCATTAAAAAATTAACTGAACTAACATTTAAATGCATTTTTTTTTTTTGTTATCCCGAAACTCTTAATTCAAAATAATTTTTAATCCCAAATAAATAAATGTATATATCTCCTAAACCATTCAAGCTAAATAACCCAAATATGCACAGAATTATCATTTTGGACATTTCCTTCGACAGTGTGGATGACATCGGATGATAACCCCGCCCACTCCCTATGTAACGGTTTTGTTAAAAACTACTAAAAGTGCGATAAATCAAAAACTAAATGCATCAGAGACAATTAATTTTACATCCGGTATGGCACAAGGGAGTTTTAAAGGAACCGGTCGCAAAATTGGGCGATGGGTGTGGCACCGCCCACATTGAGACGAAATCATATATCTCCGGAACTACTTGATCAATTTCAATAAAATTTTGTCCGTAAAACTATTTTAAAACTCCCAATGAGCGAAATCGGGCTACAACCACGCCTTCTTCGTATCTATTTTAGGACAAGACTTTGCACAAATAGTGCTTTTGAGGTATTCCCAGTTAACTAATATGGGGACACCAGTGCCTTGTGGACTTTTTACCGGAAATAACGGTCAATTTGTGAGATATATTTTTGCAATTCGGAGAACTTTTTTTTCTGATAATAGTATGCAAGTATGTCAAAAATGGATTGAATCGGGTCAATGCTTTCCTTAGCCCCCATATACTTTATCGAAATATTTGCGAACATCGGGCTAACTTTATACCGCATGTATCGACTAATATGTGAGCAATTTTAATAAAATTAAGTGGATGTATTTTCTATATAATGCTTAATCTTTGTGCCTAAAATATATAAAATCAGGTGGAAACTTGTCCTAGCCCCCATATAACAAATAACAGTATTTTAAAACATTCTGTTGATTTTACTCCACATATGTTGGTGGTGGTATGTGAGGCACCTTAATGAAACTCAGGGCGTAACTTATTCTGTTAATAGTATGTTGTATTGCCAAAAATAGATAAAATCGGATCAATATTACCCATATCTCTCATATACCTCATATAAGATTTTAGAACTTACGGTTGGGCTTATGCCATACAATATCAGTCAATATTTAAGATAACTTAGCAAAATCTACCGAACGTATAATATTGGATATACTATAGTTGAACGTATAATATTTATAATATGTATATTATTATAGTGTAATGCCGAAAATATGCGAATTTCGTCTACGAATACCCCTAGTCCCAAATACTACCTATATTGATTTTCGTTATTCCAACAAAACAAACAAACGCTTATTCTAATAAACCTTATACATGCTGTTCAATGTGTGTATTATTACATTTATAAAATTGCTTGAAAATATGATCTCAAGTATACCTCAGCAATGTCAAAATTAATTCAATCAGTTCATCCCTTTCTCTGTCTCCAATTTTCGACTTTACACCTGACAAAATGTGTGATAATTTAATAAAATTTAATGAAACTTGTATCCCTAAAATAAGGAATTGCGATCCTCTGCTCATCACACAACTCATTACATTAAATTTACAATAGTTTCTTCGGTGAATGACGCAAACTAAAATATAGTAATAAAACTAAGTGAGAATATGGGCTTTAATATAATTTAACAAAAAACAAATTTGATTGTAATCCATTTACGATTTCGTCAAATAATTAATTATGAATTGTTTCGCAACATTTGTTTTCCTAAAACCTGAGGATATGGGTCCTTCAAGTTGCAAGAGTATAAAATGTTTGGTTCCACCCGAACTTTGACCTTCCTTGCTTGTTATTTTAATTTTCCTTAATACACATGCCAAAGCACATCTGCGCATACATACATTTGCCGTTCCCTTATAAGGTAATGAATGAAAATTAGCTTGGTTCCTTTTGAGAGTGGTGTAGCTTATTGAGTTCTATTATAAAGAGAGAAGGGTTCCTTTTTGACGTGGTGTAATTTTAGTTTCGAACTTGTGCGTTTTCGATGTTCCCTCATCGTAATTAACATTTTACAGCTAACATTTGCGCCTTCTCTATTCCATTTCCATTCCATTTCCTGTTTACAGTTCAAACGAATTAACGAACAATAAACAGCGTGCGCCTAAAACTCTGCAATGGTGTTTCAGGAGTGTTATCAGAGCAGAGAATGTTAATGAACATTCAATAGCAGAGAATGTTAATAAATAGAGAAGGAGCAAATGTTAACTGAAATCTTTTTGAGTACTAATTTGTAATTCCACATGAGGGAACATCGAAAAATATAACTTCGAAAGAGAAAAATACACCACGCTGTGTGCGAAACGGAGAAAGGGCTATAAATAGACACAACGAATGAAAAATCGTGCGCATACTTATTTAGATTTGTGTTTTCAATTTCAATGATATGACGAAAATTTATCATTATGTTTTATTTTTATAACCCTTTTTTATTAAATGATATTTTAATTCTATTTTCATATTATTTCCCTCATTATTTATATTTTCTTGTCAGAAGTCAATTTATTTCGCTTTTATTATTTAAATTTTTGTTTAACGCATACCAAAGAACATCTGTGCATATGTATGTATATACATTTTGCTTATAGAGTGGTGTAGTTCATTGCGTACCCTGATAGGTGTGGTGACATTTTATTTTCGAACTTGCGCATTTTCGATGTTCCCTCATAGCAATCTACATTTTAGAACAGCTAACATTTGCTCCTTCTCTAATCATTTACATTCTCTGGCTAAATCAAATCTTTTTGAGTACTCATTTGTAGTTTTTACACGAGGGAACATCGAAAAATATAACTTCGAAAAGAAAAAAGGATTTTCAGTGGTGGCTGTCGAATTGTACCATAAAACTAACATTTTGGCTGATTTGTTCAATTTTCCTGAAATCATCCATTCATCCTCGCGCTTTTGAGAAGAAGTTCCATATGAACACCAAATGTGGTTCACCAAGCGCACCGAAAAAAAAATGCGACGCAGAGTTATGAACGAACGCACTTTGCTTTGTAGCAGACGCGCGTCTCTTATGAATGAATTTGTTGTCGTTGTAATATGAAATACTTAGAAATTCAATATGTAGCAAGCTTGCTCGAATCTTATTGGTCGATGATGGTACGTCTGCGCTTTTTTTTTGTCGCTGTCGTGAATGTTTGATTTTTTACAAATGACATACTGATGACATACTTGTACTTACATAAAAATATGTACGAGTATGTACATATATGCAAATTTATTTGTGCATGAAGAATAGTCAATTTCGAAAATATTCACATACAATTTGGTCATTCGAAACAAGTAAAAAATTAAAGTTATTTGAGTTCACATATTTGACTATTTTAATAAGATGTTATCCGTGTTGCTGCTTGTATAGCACAGTTGCTTATTGCAATAACAAATTCTTTGCCTAAGTTCAAATCCTATCCGACATCTTTTGTTTTACACATTGTATCGTATTTTTCACAAACCGGGTTCTACAAAAGTTTTTTTCAAACTGAACATAGATAGCTTAGAACGCCAGCAATAATAACGGGAAATACCGTAAAGTGAAAGAATTGGATGGAATTAAAACTGTGTTATATGGGGAGTAGACGTGGTTATTGCTCGATATCACACGTTATGAACTAGATTTCGTTGAAATTCTTTTATTAGTTTCTGAGATAAAGGATTTCACCTAAAGATGGGCGGTGCCACGCCGATTGTCCAATCGTTATATCGCTTCCTTTCAAATCATTAAATGCCATCTTAGATGTAAAATGTTGCTTCTGACCTACAAGTATTTATTTAGCGAGCTATCGCACTTTTAGCAATTTTTAACATTTCCGATTTTTTTAACATTACCGTTATACATAATCCTAAATCAAATATGAGCTGTGCATCTATTTATAGAAAATAGTTGATATTTGAATTGAAACTAATTCTGGTTAATCTTAACCTAAAAGTACCAATTATCAAATTGTAATTTAGCATGTGTGAACTTGAAGGCATAATACAATAATACCATAAATGTCCAAGTTAACTGATCAGCTTTTGTAGTAAAACCAAATTCTTTGCTTCAAGTGCACACTTTATTCATTTTATACGGATATATGTTCTATACATTGTTTTATTTACATCTGATTAGTTAATCGGCAACATTTCATTGATCAGCGAGTTTTCTTAGTTTATGTTTAAGTACTTCTCCCAAATCGCATATGACCATAGTCATCGAACTGTTCCTCGCCACCTCGTTTTCCAAAGCGCATGTGGCCATAATCGTCAAAACGCTTTGATCGATCCACGTCTTCATTTTCTATCAAAAAATCAAGTTCTATTGGGATCTTGGAACGGGGTACTTGCAACATTTTCGGGCTGAAACCGTATATTGATTGCAAATTGCGACGATTTTCAAATATTCTTCGGCCATTGATACCGTTCAGCGGTCGCAGAGGTACGCTACCAGGTGCTCCATTACCATTAGAATTTATATCATGTGATTCTGATTGCATTCCATCCAAGTTGCTGCCTACTGCTAAATTTACAATGATACAAAGAGTCAGCGTAAATGCCACCATTCCGGCTGCCATACTAAACTTGTTTAGATTTTGAGCCATTACAGTTGCTTTCACAGAGGATGCGTCGCTTTGAATGCTTCATATAACCGATAAGCATGCACCTTTTATAGAAAACACAATCTAAGTTGGTTGAAATTTTTGCATTCACAAAATAATAGAAAAAGCCTTTTTAATATTCTAGTAGTGACTTTCATCACTCATCTCTACTTTGCACTTACAACCCAACTGAGAAAATTCAATTACAATCTGCTTTTCATAATTTGACACTTTATTGACAGGTGACTATCTGCAAGGCGTTTCAGTCTTGAAATAAAAAGGAACTTGGGGTGTTAGTTTGTATGCATGTCCACAATATATATAATGATTTCTTATACTCGTATGCGTGTGCATATATTTGCGAAAGAACTGCAGTAAAATAATATTTTAGTCCTTGTTTTTAAATAAAAGATTTTGTATCACGGGCTCATGTTTGAGAAGCAAAATGCAATAACCATTTTTAATACTCAAACCTAAGATGAAATCTATCGTTGATATAACCAAACGACGTATATAAAAGTTATTAATGAAAAAGTAGACACACAACATACAAATTATTTGCAGTTCTGGGCTAAGGTATTCCTAAACAGTGTAAGCCAAAAATAAGAGGCTAAAGTTATGCTCGAGACGTTAATACTTTCAGACGATGAAAGTCTTAATTTGGATGATTTGAAGGATTTGTATGAAGAAAATTGATGGTTAGGTAAGTAATACCTCGATCCAGTTAAGCAGTTTTATGATATATGTACATATGCTTTGCGAGCTTTACGATCATTCAACAGGAACGTAGAGGAATCCATACTCCGTGGGCAGAGTTTAGCGAAAATACAGAAAAGCGACTTCTTAATCTCCATTTGAATTGAATTTAAAATTGTTTTTGCACATATGTACATAAGGGTGTCGCAAAAAAATTAAAGTTTAAGAGGGTATAATTTGTTTGAATCTTGTTGAAACAATTAGATACTAAGTTTGGTGAATTGCATCGGAACTTGTCAATACTTGTTTAGTACAGCCGACACGCACAAACTATCGATACGCATGTTATAATTTCTGTTTTTTTATATAAAACATATTAAACGCAAACAAATTTTTCGTTAAGGCAACATTGCAGTAACTACGCAGTTTTAAGAAAAGTAGGCGAAGCAAAACACCAAATAACTGGACTAAAACTTCGTTCCAATAAATAAGTTTTTGCAGTGTATCAGTATTCGCGAGTGCATTATATATTGGGAAGCAGCTCGTATACTTACAAAATCTTTTCCCAATTGTGTAAAGAAACTTCGGAATTTAGATTGGTCAACATTTTTATTTCAAACTTAGTAGCGGCGCTAGATTGGTGTCACTTAAGTCTGAGACATAATATTATATAAGGTACAAATTCTTTGTTGTGATACTACAGCAGTAAACACAATTCATATTAATAAGGATTGTGTACTTGTTGAACAGAAACTTGATAGAGAGTTACTAACTTTTGTCTGCCGCTACTACATATTAACATTAAAAAGTGTATTCGAAGCAAAACTCAGTCAAGTGACGACAAGCCCGGATATTCTGTTTTTTTTTTTAAAGTTCCGAAATAACTGGAAGAGTGTTGACTAAATGACATACAGTGCTATAAAGAAAAAATAGGTTTGCATCTGACTGTTTCCGAAATATAAAACATAATCAAATTCTACCAATCCGAGACTGCCAGGTACCTTTCACAAAGCAAGGTGGATAACGGGCTGATTTATGCACTGAAAATAGCACTTCTTAGCACTCAACTTAAAATTACGAACAAGGATAAGCTCGAAATTGCATTGCAATTACATACAATTCTAAATTTTCACACTTATACGATCAACCCATGGTTTTTAATCGCGTTTTTTATATTATTATGTAGCATCCACAGATTCACAAGATGCTATAATTTTCATATATTGTTTTAGCAACCATTCTATTATCCCGCCAGGTGTCTTCAGTTGCCACATCTCAATTAGCAAACTTCATAGAGTAGGGACAAAAAGAGGTCGGCCTATTTTATTCTCATATTGAACTTAATAACCCTTTAATTTGAACTTATTTTGCACGAACAAAACAGCGCTTCATCGTGCTATAAATCCACCAAAAACTACACTCACCGAATTTTTTATTTACTGCCTTTGCACAAACACTCGTCTATTCAAAAGTACCACGCTGTTTTACATGGGCTCAATGGAAAAAATGCAAGCAAGGCACACCAGTTGATGCATGCCATTGTCTACTATATACCGACGACATGTTTCCCGGCCCGATCACAAATGTTATGGAAAATCACAAAGATTCGATGACTGATGCTACATTGTATCGACATCGAACAAGGTGAAAGGTTAACGTATCATTCGTTCATTGTCAAAGTGTAAAATTATCATTTGGAATGAATGTACTATGGCGCACAAACATTGGAGCATTGGATAGGATATTGAAAAATATAGGAAACCACGATAATCTATTTGGCGTCTCTCTGTTACTCCTTTCTGGTGATTCCAGACAGACACTTCCCGTTAATCCGGGTATGATGAAATCAACGCTTGCTTAAAATATTCACGATTGTGAAGTTATCTTGAAAAAATACAGTTGACAGTGAACATGGGCGTTTATATGCACCAAGATCCACTTACCGAAACTTTCTGAAAATAATTGTTAGATAGCTGTACATAAAGATACTGGATGCATAAAATTACCGACGGATTTCCGCCCAATCCTCAACTCACAAAATACTGTCATCGACAACATATTTCCCGATGTACACACAAAATATAAAAATCTTGAGTAGAAAGATCGATTTTGGCAGCAAAAAATGTGGACGCGAATGGATTAAATTTAAATATACAACAGTTGTACCTTGGGAACTTGGTCTCATACAAATCTATCGATGATGTTTGCGATGCCAATGAAGCTGTGAATTATTAAACTGAGTTTTTGGATATGCGGGGCATGCCACGGCGCCATTTACTACTGAAGGTTGGTTGGTTATTTTGCTTCGTAAATTGAACCTGCCATTGCTTTGACATGACAAAGTATGAGTCCTTAAATAATTAATGAAAAACTTTTACGAAGTCACAATTTTGAATAGCAAGTTCCGAGTCGAAAATATATTGCTGTCATGAATACCTATGATTCTTAAGCGCACTATTTATTCAATTAGATTGACATTCGCAATGGCGATGAATAACTCACAAAGTCGAACGTTGTCTGTTTGTGGGTTAAATTTGGGTAAACCATACTTCTCCCACGGTCATCTTTATGCGACATGCGTGAGCAAACCATCCAGTTGGTTTGTATTCACTAAAGACGGACTGACAAAAAATATTGTACACTCCATTGCGATGAAAGATTAATATTTGTTTATTTTTAATTGAAATAATTAGTAGTAGAAATCTGAATTATTTTCGATATATAGGTAGCTATCAATAATTGTAATTTAATATATGTACATATATTTCATCTTCATACCTCAATTATAATTACATCCCCCTGTTAAGTATTTTCAAAAATGTTTCCTAAACAAATTGTTTTCTTAAAAAAATATTTCCTAAAAATGAGTTGGTATATACATAATATGCAACTTACAAAAACTCCACCATACAATACTATATACTTAGGTACGTATGTAATGAAAGTTAGTATTATAAAACATTAGGCAGACTTAGAAATCGTCAATTGCAATGTATAGGAACAAGGTATAATGTTCTGTATGGCATCCGAAATATTTTTGACATCGCATTATATTTTGAAACTCATTAAACCGGCAGTCGATGCACAGTGACGGTGGCGGTGTAAGATTGTAAAGCTTCTTATTAGTTGTTATATTAGTTTATACTAAATTTGCATTAAATTCAGAGATTATGGCAATGTACTTAGGATGGCAATAATATAATATATTTTCCTATATATTTTAATGATGTTGTTCTTGTATTTTCGATGAAACGGAAAAAATTATTTATAATTCAACTTTTTGGTTTTAATGTTATCATTTTTATCTTTATACGATCGCAAAAACGAAACAGCTTATTGCAAGTAAACTTTCCAGTAAAAGTGTTATGTAACGTCAAATTATACAACGTATTGTTTTGCAATGTTGTTGACGATTCATACGGACGATTTATAAATACTGTAGTCATATTGTATCGATACTTTGCCGTATTACGTTTTCGAAGTCAGCCTTTCTGTAATATTACTAGTATTAAGAACACCTTTACGGCCAGGTTTTTAATTGTTTTTTTTTTAGCAAGTTCAAGTAAGCGCAATTGTATACTCTCAGTATATTTTCGAAGGTCATGATCTACTATCCAAATGTCAGTGTAATAGTTCATACTTGTGTGCATGTAGGTAGATGCATGCACTTATTTCCTCATGTACATTAGTATGCATTTAATCGACATATCAAGGTGACTCGTATCAACTGTTCAGCGGAGCATAATTTAGTTGAATTGGTTTGTTGTGTTCAATAGCTGACTGAATCAAACGGTCGCTATTACCAGATAAAAACCGGTTCAACTGCTCCGATCGCTTCTTTTCTTTTACATTTCTATCTCCACCTATACACACAAGAAGCATATGCCGGCCAAAGCATCCTCTCATATGCGTAAACTCGCATTTTGCGATGGCAAAAACGTGAGTATGAAACCATTTTCACCACTTCGATATTGCAATGATCCGTTCAACGGTACTATAGCATACGATATCAAACTTAGATTATGCTGCACTACTTCTGTTAGTCTGTTAGTTTTGTAGGCATCACTTTGGTGCCATCTAAAATGTAGCACAGCTATGCACTCGCATTCCGGATTTTACAGTTTCATCAGGTTACTTGTATACATGTGTGCGTGTATTAGAACTAGTGCAAATGATGAACAAATCATGAATCGAGAAATAAATTATAATTTGGTACAGCTGCCGATCGCTCTTTGTTAGAGAACATCTAAGGTTAAATTCTTAAAATTATTATAAGCTTACAAAATGTACTATTGTATATTTAAGTATGTTTAAAAGAGTATTTAATACTCCTAGAGCAGATATCGATGATGGCTTAAATCGAAAGTACAAAAGATATATTTTTATTTTCCCCACTCCCTTACTAGTTAGTTTTCGGTAAAAGATTTATTGTTGTAAACTTTTATTTTTCCTAAATAATTATATATGTTTCACTATAGGGTATGTACTCTATCGAAAATTGTCCACTAGATAAACAAGTTCACTG